TCTTCCTGCTATGTGTCTCTACTGCATAGAAGTAGGAACTACCAGAGTGTGTCTGCTGCCTCAGCTTATTTTATTTCATTAAATATTGCATTCTTGAATGCTATCTATATAGGGAAACACAGTTTTGGCTTGGGGTATGTATGTATGGTGTGGGTTTTTTTCTTTTTTCCACATTCCCTCATGTGTCAGACATAATGGTAGCCTTGCATCAAACTATTTATAGCCATGGCATAAAAGATAGAGGGAACTGCAATGTCTCCGAGTCCTGCTTTGTGCTGGAGAAATTGGCTGTGATTAACATTGGTCCTCTTGGCTGAGCTGGGCCACATTCCTCCCTTAACCACAGCTCCCTCTGTGCTCTTAGGCACATGTCTGTCTGTGCATCTCCTTTCCCTTCCCCCCAGCCCACGATCCCTTTCTGGATCAGCCCTGGGCACCCTGGCTGTGGTAAGGTGCTCATGATGAGGGGCACTGGTGTGACCACGCGCTGGGGCGGTGACGCTGTGGTTAAACCAGTGCCAGTGTGTGGCAGGCGCTGGCAGCCACGGGAACCATGCTGGCCCACCATTAAAACCCAGCACTGCATGCTTGGCTCTTACCAGGGAGGCTTCTTCCAGCCATTTGCTCAAGGTTTCCTTTGAAACATCCTCCCCAGCCACAAATCAGTAGGCAGCGCATTTCTGTGGGATGCAGACGTGCAAGCAAGACATGTCTGCTCAGGCTCCGCTGCCTGGAATGGGGATGCTGCTGCTAGGGCTTGCAGGGTACTTCAAATAGAGTTTTTCCAAATTATCCCAGCCTCCATCTAACTGCTCTGGGAAGTGCAGGGTTGATATCTGGGAGATATCAAAGCTGAATTGAGTGGGTAGCATAGTAATGGGATAGTTCTGCTAGCTGCTAATCATTGTGGGTGTGTGCCCAGTCTGGACTCTGCTGGACAGGATGCAGAGCAGCGATGGATGTGGGTACAAGTGAAGCTGTGCTGGGACTGCCTCTGCAAGGCATGCAGAAAGTTGTTTTCCAGCTTGCTGATGTATCCACTGATAGACATGCGATCGCACATGTGGTGGTCTGCTGCTCCACCATATCAGTGGCTTTAGTTTTCCATCAGTGAGGTGAGGAAGAAAAGCCTTAATAGCTGGGGAAGCAGGGCAGAAGAGTGGGCCAGAACAGAGTGGGTCACTATTCGGATAACTTGGCAGTGAATGGCTACCTACGTGGTGTCAAATGAGATACTCTAAATGTTGTGCATTGTATCGAGCACAAGTTGTAGTTTCCTGTTCCAAATCCTTATGTTTATTCCTGTTGCAGTCATCTCTTAACATTTGGGCTGTGTGGTTCCTATTTCCAGAAGATGATGGCAACTTCATGGTCTTTCCATTTGTCCCTAGGCCATCTGTGAGCTCTCTGGACCTAACCAGCTCACGGCTTTGTAAGTAGCAATAATAACAACACCTGCTGTCTCTGTTGCTATCTGAAATGCTGTGTACACGGTTCTACAGCAATACAGGTCAAAGAGGTTGAGACAGAGACCCTGTCCCCAGAGTTTTTGTATTTTAGATCCACATTATAGCAAACTAGTGGGCTTAGTCACCTGATTGATACACCTCTCTTTCTTTTCAAAGGATGGATCTGCCCTTAAGTAAAGCTGTGCAAAAACTGGGAAGTACTGCATCGCAGCTCTTGGATTTGGACCACTTCCAGGCCTGACATCCAGAAACTCATCCCTATGGGTGGTAAAGACAAAGAGGTAAGCTGTTTCAAGTGTTCAGGAAGAAGAGTGCAAGAATGCATCATAGCTGAGTGCTTGAAGCTGCTGTTGAACGTGCCAGATTTATAGAGCCCTGGGGTGCAGGGCTGGCTTGGCTGACACCAGACGCTGAGTACAGTCCCTAGTTTACTAGGATTGTCTCCTTATATGAAATACGCTGCCTTGCCTGGGTCGTGAGTGAGGAGGAAAGCAGAACACCCTGTGTCAAGAGCACTTATTTTGAAAAGCTCTTGAACTTGCAGTAAATCAGAAGGTCTGGGGAAACTTCCCCAGCCTTTTAATTAGCGAGACACTGGCTTTTTAGGGTATGCTGCTTTGGCTGCAAGCACTGCTCTGACTTGCAGTAGGGAGGTAGTAACTTGTTTGGGCGTTGGGGTTTTTTGGGCTTTTTTGAGGAGAAAAGAAGGAAAGTAAATCATGATGTGGCAAATCAGAAGCAGAACTAATTATGCATATGTGTTTCATTATACCCCTGGGCTGACTTATTCCTAACCCTGAGAGTCTGTACATCCTCCTTGATGAGGGAGCCATGTACACATAGGACCTGTTGACCCATTAAAAGAGAACCTTAAAGGTAGTATCAGGAAGCACTTCTGGAGATAATATTAATAACTGATGCTGTGCTGCAGGCCAGGTGGTCCTCTCATGGAAATGGGTCACTGAAGCTAAACAAATTCCCCAGATCTGAGGCTCTGACCCATATGTAGATTTCAAACTGAGTGAACAAATTGTCAAGGTGCTATTTTTGCATTTACTTTGAATTTGAAATTGATGACACAGTCTCAGTTCTTAGTCAGTCAGACTTCTAGTAGCAGTGGATTTTTCTTAAAGGGCTTGGGCGAATGACTCAAGGTTGAAAATTGGGACAAACAAGTGATTTTTTTTCCCTGTCAAATAGCATCTGCAGCCTTACACAAACTATGTATTTGTTGTTATTTTTAAAACTAGCCTAGAAATGAAAGACAGCTGCCTGCTTCTGTTTTCCTGCTTGAATTAATTTTCCAACCTTGACCCATGAAATTGGCAAAATTTCCATTTGGACCCAAGAGGAGTTGCAGTTCTCACAAGAAGGTTCCTTGTCACTTCCCCTGCGGCTATAGCTGCAACCCTGGAGGCATCTGGCAGATGACCTTTTTTTATAGGAGCTAGTGTCAGAGGGCCCTATAGCTTCCTTGCCCAGCAGAGAGGAGAGGGAAAGGGACACAGAGATGCTGCAACTTCTTGTGGTGCCTACTGTGCTGAGTTTTCGGTGGTGATAGATGGCCCCAGTTGTGGCACGTGGTGACTGTGTTTACTTGCATTCTGCTCACTAAATCACCCGTCCCCTAAGATTTATTCTGACTTGCTGAACAGTCTGCCTTTTTTTTAATGGAAAAGAAAAAACCCAGCTTGATTAACTCCTTCCTACCCCTCCCACCTTTCACTTAAGAATGGAATTTCCCTCCCGCTGTGACACATAGCTAAAGGGCAGGATCAACAGCATTCAGAGCAGTACCAGAGACGTTAGCAGCTTGTGGACTGCAAATCGCAGGGCTAGAAACTGGAGAAGCTTCCCAGGCTGCTCTTGGAAAGGGTGTTTATGGCTCCATGTATGGAGACGTGCCTGCCAACCACATTACTGGTATTGCTATTAAGTACTGGTAGAGATGTTAGGCGAGAAAAAATGATTGGAGGTAAGGCATTTCTGAGCACATGCCTCCTTCCCAAAACTCCTGTGCCCATGTGAAGGAAAGACATTTGGCCCTGCTGCTCCTTGTCCTCTCCCCAGGCACAGAGTGGGCTCTGCCTGGCACCCAGCTGCGTGAGCTCCAAAAGGAATGTGAGGCTTCTGAATAGCAGGCGAAGGGTGTGAGATGGGAAACCTGCAAGGAGCTAAGCTTAACATCAAGCTCTCCCTCCAGAGCAAGCTCTCCACAGGTCCCTGCACATTCCCTGAGGGGCTGCCTGCCCACTGTGAGTGCCAATGTTCCTGCATGGTGGGGAGGAGCTGCTGGAGATGAAGTGTGTCTCTTCCCCCCCTGCAGACTGTGTGTCAGCAGCCTGTTCCGCTCCAAGCGTGGCAGCGCTGTGAGCGAGTATGACTGGGTTAATGGAGTATGTCAAGGGGCCGAGGGCAGCACTTGGCGGTGAGCTACTGACTTGTCAGGCCTGGGGAAGTGGTATGTTACAGCTCAGCCTCTCGCATAGAACGAACCTCTGGCTTGGGGCTGTGGTTTTGATGTTTGTACATACACACACACACATTCAGAAAATGGTTTTTTAGATATATATATAATTGAAATGACTTGGATGTCTGATGGCAACACCGGGTTCAGAAATCCGCATTTCTGAAAACAGCCTGGTGGTAACACAGGGTGCAGATGAGCAGGGTTGTGACAGTGCATGAGCAGAGGATGGTGACTGGGAGAGGGCAGCATTGTCTGCTGGCAGGGGGAGATGTGCTTCTAGAAGAAAGAGAAGTTAAGGGGCTGGAAGGGCATCAGTAGTGTCTGGTGCCAATGTTAAGTGGTTTTATTCGTGGCAGTCCCAGCCCTGAATTTGATGTCGTAACATTTCTTGAAGGGATCTTGGTCTGAGACCTTTGCTTTCTCCTGACATAGTAAAACAGGCATATCCTGGGATGAGGGAGTGGTTCATGGGATTAGGTGGGAAAGGCTCATCTTCTGCTCCTGATAAGTACTGTTGTCGATCTTTTCGTTCGAGAAAGGGTTGGAGAGCTGCAAGGAAACCTTTCTACCTTTCACTGAATGACGAAGTAAATGATACTTTCCTGCTTTAGGAAATTTTTCCCTTCTGATTTGAGGTGTCATTTCCCCTTTCCAGTCTCAAGGCCACTCTGAAAAGCCGCAAAGCATCCAACAGAGCGAAATCTTGAAACACCAAGATCTGCTGTGTTCAAACCAGCCTGCTGGAGGGTGTGCAGGAGCCTCTGGCTGTGAATCACAGAAACCCAGTGGATACAGAGCTCTGTAAAGTGCCACCTGGTGCTGGTGGGAGCCCAGCAGGAGCCCTTCCTGCGCATATGTCTTTGGTTGACCCTACAGCTGGGGGTTGGTGACATACAGTAGCTCCTTGGTGTACCCTCTTTGGTACTCTTGCTGGTCGTTTTTCCTTGTGAAGTGTCTTCACTGCCCAGGTAGAAGGTGGTATTGGGTTTGCCTCACTCTCCTTCTGTCCCACAGGCTGGATGCAAAGGAGGAAGCATGGTAAAGGCAGCATCTTTCCAGGATCCATGGGCTCTTTGAGAGATGATCAGAGGGAGGCCAGATGATCTGCACAACACGCACACCACTGTTCCTCGTCTGCAAACGCAGCATCGGAGTGTTCTCCCCAGCCCCACACCCCCCGGCTTGCCCGATCGTTTCCGGATGTTTCGCAGCTGCGAGTGGGAGGTCCTGGAGCGATCCCTCAATATCCTCCAGGCCAGTGACTTCTACTGGGGCCCCTTGTCCGTGGGGGAGGCTCACGCCAAGCTCCAGAGGGAGCCTGTAGGCACCTACTTGGTGCGGGACAGCTCGCAGGGGAACTGCTTGTTCAGCCTGAGCGTGCGGATGCCGACGGGGCCCGTCAGCCTCCGAATCTCCTTCCAGGAGGGCTATTTCCGCCTGAAGAACTGGTTTTCAGACTGTGTGGTCCGACTGCTGGAGCTGGTGGTGGCAGGGACCCGGAATAACCCCTTGCACTTTGATGAGATGGGCGGAACCCCCCTGGTGTTCTCTGAGCCCCTGTGCCGGAGCCGCCGGGCAGTGCCCACGCTGAGAGAACTGTGCTGCCGGAGCCTGCCCACTGGTGCCGTGATGGGGGATGGAGCAGGGCTGGGGGGCTCCTTGGGGATGTGTCTGAGGGAGGAGGTGGTCTCACCCCCGGACAGAAGGGGAGCATCAGAGGGGAACATTGTCCCCAGCCCCTCTCCGTCCTGGGCTGGGAGATGATGCCATACACATGGGAGATGAAGAGAGATGCCTGTTACGTTGCTGTGCTGGTGGGATGTGCCACACCAGTGGGGCTGGACTGGCTGCTGGGGAAGGAAGTGGGGGGGCAGGGGGAGCCGAGGGGCAGGGAGAGCAGAGCTTGAACCAGAGATGGCAGGGTAAAGCCAAACCTGAAGAGTAGAGATTTCTACCACTACCAAGTCCTGTTCTTTGCTCCATTTATAACTTAAAAGCTTCAGAAGAAGGTGAGTTGCTTGTCCTCCCAGGTCAGCTCTGTGTTTTCTTCTACTCCAAAGTGCTTGAGCTCATTTCTGCTTCAAATCTGCCCTTGTGAAGTGGTGCAGCTGAGCCTAGTCCCACAGCAGTGCAGCTTGGACATCGGTGGGCATGACCCCTGTGCTGACTGGATACCCACGTAGCTGCAGCCGAGCAAGAGCACATTTCACTCCTTGCAGCATGAACATGGTGCCTGCCACTTAAGAGGCCAGCGCTGCACTAGAGTGAAACCATTGCAGCCATGTATGAGACATGCAGCTTCACTGGCTTTTGCATTGCTTTATTCCATCAAATTTTGAGGAGTGCAGCTGGGTTACGTTATACTAAGGGTTTGGCATTCCCGCAGAGGTAACACTGGTCTGGAGAGTTGCATCTCCCTGGGAGGGTGTGAAGAGATGGGATCCAGCACCCTTTCTCTTATGCTCATCTGGTAGTGTGCTGCTGCCACCTACTGAGCAGCAGAAGAGGTTTTGGTTCTGCCTCTAAAAAGGCAGAGGATTTTTATATAAAATTTTAATAAACGTGTTTTTATATTGATTTTTAAAAGTCAACGGATACATGACGATATTTTCATTCCCTTGCAGTTTTGGAACCCAGTTAGTTTAGTGCTGAGATGTGGCAGTTGAACTGAAACCAAATAAGTGAATTTCTTACACAGACCAAAAGCAGAACATAAATGAATGATCCTAGCTGAGAACATTAAACTTAATCCATCTCACAGTGCAATCAGTTGAAGAATTTTCTATACAGAAGATACATCTGAAAATCTTGCTTCTACATGTTTAGGAAGTATTTTTAGTACCTTAAAATTTTGTACTGACTGTTTGAAAGAACCGTGAGTAATTCACGGCTCTTTCCGTGAGTAAAGAACGGGGCACAGCATCAGTGAGCTTGAACTGGTGAGGGTGAGTACAAATGAGAGGAACAGAGTTGGCTTAAATAGGGTCATGGTTCATTTCAGAGGTACAGGCAGGTATGAGGTCTTCAAAATAAGTGACTGAAAACAGCTACATAAAAGGAGAAATTCAGGTGCTGTAAAATCTGAGCCAAACCATTTTGCATGTTGCCAAACATCCGTAGCCAGGCAGGCAGCCTGCTGAGCTCATGCTGACTTTCCCCTTCAGACCTGTACAGGAGAATAAAAGCTGAACATGGGAAGAGATTACTCTGAATTTGCTCTTTTGTCTTCAGGTGTCTTACCTGAGGAACCAAAGCATGCAGTCAGCACAGAGAGGGAGAGAGTGATACAGGCTGTGATTCATCACAGAAGCCCAGCTTAGAGACTGAATTATTCTCTGGAGGGCTCTGTCGCTCTGCTGGCAGTGAAGTGCCTGGCCTTGCATCTCAGGGCACTGCCTTGTGAACCAAGGGAGCTAAGTAAGTGCCAGGGAAGTGACCATCCCCTCCTTGCTGATGCTCCCCTTAGCCTGAGGGATGCCAGGGGCAGCTCAGTGGTCCTGCAGCTGCTGCATCTCTCACTCCAGTGCAAAGTGTGAGCTGGGAACATTCACTACTGCAGAGTTCATGTGCCCTGTGGTGGCTGAGACGTGGGCAGTGTTGCTGGCTGCCAGCATCTCAGGGGGCTCTTGGGTGAAGCCCCTGCCTTGGCAGGGTCACCCACACAGCTGCCTTCCTCTCTGCCTGCCATGGAGGAGAGGAACTGGATCTGCTGCCCCAGGCATCATCCCTTGATCCCTTCCTTCCTTGGGAGTCTTTGCTGAGGTACCTTGGCTGCCTTCCTGCCTTCCCTTCAGAAAATGGAGAGGGGGGAAGGAACAGGCTAATTTCTTCCATGTTTAGAACTGAGCACAGGAATGCTTCTGTTTTCTGGCCATAGTTCTACCTCACCAAGGGAAGCGCTTTCTAACCGGATTGCTCTGACCTGGCTGTGAACTGTTCTCATTTGGCTGAAAGTGAGCATCTTGGGCTGTATGGCTGGGGGCTGCAGAAGAGCTCTGTTTGCAGCCTGGATTGCACTTCAGGAAAATGGCACCATGGGAGAAGGAAATAGTTTGGATTTTAATAAAGTACTTTATTTTGTTCTTCTTTTAATTGCACAGCAAGCGCTTGTCTTAGTCTTCCAAGTAAGTCAATTCCATGCAGGGCTGCAGCGAATTGATTTGAGATCTGTGGATGAAAAGAAGTGAATTACTGCCAAGCATTGTTATATTGTGGAAGTTTAAAGCACGTTATGTGTGAGTATCCTCATTATTCCCGAGAAGAGGTCACTTTGCAGATCAGGATTGGTGCAAGAAAGGAAATCCATTTGGGAAGAACAGGAAAGTGAAAAGTACCTCAGCTAAGGCAAGTGTTAGAGAGTCCTTCTTTTTCTGCTTGGATGTTGGAAGAAAAACCTTATCCTTTCAATTCTTGAGAAAAAAAGATGTAGAAAGCAAAACCGTACGAATTTGCTTCTACGGGGTGACTGCAATGCCATCCTTCTGCTTTCATTAATGAGGGGGACATTTGGGAAGAACAGGAAAGTGAAAAGTACCTCAGCTAAGGCAAGTGTTAGAGAGTCCTTCTTTTTCTGCTTGGATGTTGGAAGAAAAACCTTATCCTTTCAATTCTTGAGAAAAAAAGATGTAGAAAGCAAAACCGTACGAATTTGCTTCTACGGGGTGACTGCAATGCCATCCTTCTGCTTTCATTAATGAGGGGGATTACATT